TGGTGCAGGTGGACAGCAAAGTGGGACATGTAGCACTTAGGGTGTGTGGGCACATGGGGTGGCACCAGCAGGGGATGAATGGGGACATGGGGATGTATGGGGCACAGGGACTGTCCCTCACTGCGGGATGTCCACTCTTACCCTGTCCCTACCGCAGGTGAAGCAGTCCCTCCAGGGCACAGCCCCCCAGGAGACGCCCATCGCCTTCGAGGAGCTGGACGGGACCTGCAGGACCAGCTATGGGTACCCCAACGGTGCCAGCACGGCCCCATGGGCAGCCATGGTGCTGCCGCTGGCCCTGCTCCTCTCCCTGTTCTAACGCCACAGCCCCAGCACGCGGCCCGGTATGATACTGGTGCTGGGCCGGTGGTTGTCACATGGGGCCCAAACCCATCTCCTCTTCTCGCCTGTGTGTCAGCCCCACGTGTGAAATAAAACTGTGCTTCGAGCACCACCAGCAGCGTGCATCCCTGTCAGGACCCTGCGGGGACTGCCACCCCCAGCCCCAGGATGTCACCGGCCACACCAACACCCCACCAACTACACCAACACCTCACCAGCCATGCCAACACACCACCAGCCACACCAACACCCCACCAGTCACACAACACCCCACCAGTCACGCCAACACCCCACCAGCCGCTTCGAGCACCACCAGCAGCGTGCATCCCTGTCAGGACCCTGCGGGGACTGCCACCCCCAGCCCCAGGATGTCACCGGCCACACCAACACCCCACCAACTACACCAACACCTCACCAGCCATGCCAACACACCACCAGCCACACCAACACCCCACCAGTCACACAACACCCCACCAGTCACGCCAACACCCCACCAGCCACACAACACCCCACCAGTCAACACCGGCAGTGACACATCGCTGCAACACACGGTCAGGGTGGTTGTAGGGCTGCCTGCACAGGATGCTTCCATTAATCATTAACTAATTAATTGGCTGCTTAATTAGCTTCTTAGCAATTTCCTCTCACACTCAGGAACAGCCTGTCTTCGGAGCGGAGGTGGCTTTGGGCAGTGGGAAAACAGGGAGGGGAAGGAGCTGAAGGCGCCTTCCTGTGGCATTCACAAACTGGCTGGGACACAGAGCTCGCCTGGCAGCCGGGCACAGGAGGAGATGGGGATGGGATGGACAGAGGAATGGGATGGACAGGAGGACAGGATGGGCATGGGGACAGGGTGGAGGTGGGGATGGGATGGACATGGGGACAGGACAGACAGAGGAATGGGATGGACAGGAGGACAGGATGGGCATGGGGACAGGGTGGAGGTGGGGATGGGATGGACATGGGGACAGGACAGACAGAGGAATGGGATGGACATGGGGACAGGATGGGCAAGAGGAAGGGATGGACGTGGGGAAGGGATGGACAGGAGGACAGCATGGATGTGGAAAAGGGGTCGACAGGGACATGGGATGGGTGTGGGGAAGGGATGGACATGAGGACTGGACGGACAAGGGGACAGGAAGGATGTGGGGATGGGATGGACATGGGGACAGAATGCACATGGGAACGAGATGGACATGGGATGGACATGGGGATGGGATTGACATGAGGACTGGACAGACACAGGGACGGGATGGGCATGGGGAAGGGATGGACATGAGGACTGGACGGACAAGGGGACAGGAAGGATGTGGGGATGGGATGGACATGGGGAATGGACAGACATGGGATGGACAGAGGGACAGGATGGGCGTGGGGAAGGGATGGACATGGGGACAGGACAGACACAGGGACGGGATGGGCATGGGGAAGGGATGGGCCCAGTCCCTGCCAGGACGGTGAAGCTGCTGTCGGGTGCCAATGGCAGGACCAGGATGGGAAGCACTGGGGCTCCCCCCGTTACAAGGTTATGGGGTTAAGGGGGGATTTCTCCCTTGGGGAGCCCAGCCTCCTCCCCACAAGGGCTGGGAGCAAGATTGGACCCTTCCTCCTCTTCCTCACCTCATGGTGCCATGGGCAGAGTGGACCCCAGCTGCCCCCCACACACCAGGGGACATTCAGGGATCGTTTATTTAAAACAGCAGGAGGTGATCAACAAGGAGGAGAAAAAGGCAAATGAGAGAAGCTTATAAAACAAGACACAAACGAACCCACAGAGAAACACCACTGGAGATCGGAGCATTCCCAGGGGCTCCCCGGGCCCCCAGCCCCACACACGGCACCCCCGGGCGGGCAGGGGGCTCACGGGGGGAAGGGGTCCCTGCTTTCTGCCCAGCCCATGGGGAGGTGGCACAAACCCAACGCTCCCCCCTGCGCCGGTGACTTTGCAGCCCAAAGCCACCTCCTTTGCAGCCACCACCCCACGTCCCCAGCGCGCCAAGGCCACCAAAAAGGGGAGAAAGAACGAAAACGGTGGGGAAAAACCAGAAGTGATTGCACAGCACGGCCCCCACCAGCAACTGCAGGGCCTGGGGTGGAGGAGGAGGGCAAAGTCCCTCCTGGCGACAGCCAAAGGAAAGGACGTTTCCTTCCTGGCCGCCCCACACCTCCGTGGGGCGCAGAGAAGGTGCACAAAATGCCCCAGGCCCAAAGGAAGCAGCAGCCAACGTTCCTTCGTGGGGCAGGAGGAGGAGAGGGGACACGGGAAGCAGCCCCCGGCTCGGTGACATGGAGCACAGCCAGGACGCGGTGTCGGGGTGGTTTAGCATTCACCGTCACACCCATCCGGCCGGGGGACATCTGGGGACGAGGCTGCGGTCACCACAGCTCCAAACCCATGGAGGGGGAGCTGC